ACACACACACACACACATATATATATATATATATATATATATATATATATATAACCATAGGTTATTTTGAGAACTGGTAAATATTTGAGAAGTAAACAAGTGATCCTAGCCTTATAGCGCCCTTCATACGATCAAGATCGGATTTGATTGGTTAAGAATTGCGGAATTGACTGATCAAGATTTGCTGCTTTAACTGGTCAAAATTTGCGGCTATGCGAAAAATAGAGGGGGCAGTTTTGTAACTTTTGCAAATAGACGGCAAACGGGTTCATATGTGAACCCGTGTAATTCATATAAAATTGTTTTAACTGATTCACATATGAACTCGTTTGCCACCTATTTCTAAAAGTTATGAAACTACCTCTCTATCTTCTGCATACCCATGAGAGAAATTATCCGGTGTTTCACAGTCAAATCCGCAAATGTTAACCAGATAAAGGGCTAGAATCACTTTTTTTTACTTCTCAAATACTTGCTAATTCTCAAATGAACCTTCCCTCCCCCCCCACACACACACACATATATATATATATATATATATATATATATATATATATATATATAAGTGTGACGGTAATCAAATGAGAACAAAAAAAGGTTGTGAACGGTTCCCAAGTTCAAAAAGGTAAAGAGGCTTGAAGCTTTAAATCAACGATCAACAATGAAAGTAGGAAGGTGGAATTGTACAGTGATGTTTCATATGGTGAATCTGGTGGATTAGTATGTGTTTGTGTTTCTCATCATGAGTTTTTGTGTTTCATATGGTGAATCTGGTGTATTAGTATGTGTTCCATAAAGAACGATCAACTATGTTTGGATTTCATGTGGTGATTTAGTATGTGTTTCATATGGTGAATCAGTGTGTTTCATATAGTGAATCAGTGTGTTTTATATGGTGAATCTGTGTGTTTCATATCGTAAATCTGTGTGTTTCATATGGTGATTGAATTTGTATGTTTCATCAGGTGAATCTTGCTACCAAAATGACGATTATGCTTTTTTTTTTAATTAAAATCAGCTTTCAGTTAAAACCATATGATCAAAATCAAAGTAAGACTTAGATCAATCATCACGGATCTCAATACTTTTTTGGTCCTTGCAAGATTAAGCCCCTATATATACAGCCACAAGTTATTTTGAGAAGTGGTAAATATTTGAGAAGTAAAGATGATGGGGATCCTGTCGTACAATATCCAAT